ATTAACAATTTATTATTATATTATTTATATAATTTTAAATAATACGTCATTAGCACTTATTGTAAATCATATTTCTTCCAATCTCATAGAATAAGTTATTCTGATAATATTTACATGAAATATGGTTTCGACTACCTAATTTGTTTTCGAGTTAAATCCTCGAGTTCTCGTGAATTCTCAGGAAATTGGATAGTTAGTTGTGAAATAATTTTCGCGGTTATAACAAACTAACCCGAATAATAGATAATTCAGAATAATATATGAAATACCTGACAATCTAAGCCAAGTCATTTATTATTCAACTTAGTTTATTATTCTTTAGTACAATCCTCAATAAAAAACAATATTTTCGTAAGTCAGGTTGGCTTAGAATAAAATTATTTACTTTGGAAATTAAAGTGTTTTAAGTTTTAATAAAATTTTGTTTTCAATCAAATACTCCTTGTATAGTTGTTTTCTTTTTACGACTAGTATAATATAAATTATAATACATTCTAATAATATAATATTTGAATAAAATCATTCTAATTATATTCGTATTGAGTATATGGAGTGACTTGTCAAGTATTTACCCCCATTTTTTTTTTATTTAATAACAATTTGCATTTTTTATAATTTATATTAATATTAGTTACTAATATTTTAAAGTTCATGCAATATATTATCCTTAATACCTACATAGAATTAAATAACTTAACAACTACTTGTTCTAATTTTTATTTTTATATTCTGAAAAATTTTCCAATAAAAATTTTACAACGAAAAAAGAGGATTCTCAACTTTAAAAACAGAAATTTGTATTTTTACAAGAAATCCATCCTTTAAGTAAAACAAAAAAATCTCGATAATTTGAAATATGATTTTTCATGATAAATATATTTAAAAATACAAAAATCAGATAGTGAATAACTGCGTTATATTTTTATTTTTATTTTTAAAGGAGCTATAACTATAGGCATGTTTGATAAATCTCCTTGCATATAGCATATAATATATTATAATAAATAAAAAGGATTAGCATGATGAAATTCTATTTAATTTTTTTTTAATATTACCCTCGGCAACAGTAGCCGCTGGATTACGAAGTACGTTTAATAAATCGCGTTTTAGGTATAAAATAAAACAATTGATTTATAGGGCTTACCGGATCGAAAAAATCCGTGATACTGCAGTTAAACTAAAAATATTTTAATATTTTATCTAACGAAATAAAAATACCTGGATAAACTGGAATTTAAATGGATAAAACATATATGTAGGTACTTACCTGCATGCAGTAACGGCACTATGTATTTTGGGGCTTTGAACAATATTTTTGGCGAGGCCTTTGATGATTATGGAAGTAGACAGTAAATACTTACACTTGATATTTTGTTTTATATAATAGCTGATAGTTTTTAGACACATTTTAGGCACCAATTACCAGTTAAAAATAGAGATTTATTTTATTATTTCTAATTGATAGTTTATTTAAACAGATACAATTTATCAGTTATAAATATATTATCAAAATTAAAACATTTTTATGACAATTAATATATTTTTGTTCATAACTTTATTGATTCTACTACTTATTAGTTTATAAAATGTATCTTTTTATAAAATATACATATATATTAAATTCACAGTTAAGTATATTTTAAAATAATTAGTTATTGAATACAATTGGTTTTAAAAAATGATGAAGCTTATATCAAACTAAATCATATATAACAAAAAAAAAAAATTATATTTATTTAACTTTTTAAAGTTATAAAATAAAAACGAAATAGTTAGTTATTTAAAAAAAAATATATTTATATATTTATGTGTCAATGTGTGTAGTGTGTAAATTAAATTATAATAAAATAAATATAATTAAAGGGTATTCGTACTTTATCGGTTGTTATTCTTAATCAAAGTGTGATGTATTTATATTAGTATATTTTATAATGTATTATAATTTATATTTAATAGCCTATAATTGGTATTTCAAGTATAAATATTAATTTTATTTTTCCTGTATGGTTATAAACTATGCACATTGGCTACATTACTTATTTACGAAAAATTGTTCTTAAGTTACGTAGCATAAATTTTTTTTCTGTGTACCATAAAATTATGAAAAATAAATAATTAAACACGGCCCCCCCTGATTACGGGTCCACGGGCATTTACACGAAATACCCCCCTCCCTAGCGCCGTCACTGACTGCATACCTATACATTTTATAATGGCATATGCTTTGAACTAAACCAACAAAATGCGATTTGTTTTTAATTTAACGCCAGGCAATAAATGTACACATTATTCCCTTTGTATCGATTATTTTGTACTCAGGTCTCCGTATTGTATGTACACTATACATATTATGGACGCGGTCACGTTTATCTGTTTCTCGGACGTATGAAGCGCGCGCGTGTACACACACTGCATACACAGACACGCACACACTAACACTATTAGAAGTTAGATGGGATGGATCGAAGTATACATACAAATTAAGACGATGGTGATACTGTGATTATGTGTCATTCTCGGAACTGTCTCAGAAATCCCTCACTGTGACTTTTGAAATGATCAAATTTTTAGAGATGCCGAGGATTTATTTTGATGAAATAAATGACCCATGGATTTGCTCTTCAACCTATTGGTATTAACATTTATCTATTTGTCAATTAGTGTCGCCAGTTTAATGCGGAATGCGGCGAGTAACCCAGTATACGACTATACCATCTATGTTATATTTTACATTTAAAATAATGATAAAAACGTATCCTGATAATAATATTTACGAGCGTCTATCTAAAAAAAAATATATACTTCTGTAATATGTAGTCAACGTCGACCCCATCAATGTCAAGCCATATTTTATTTTATTATCAAACATTTTATACCATTATATTTTATTTATATGAAAAAAAAAATGTACGTTTCCATCAACTCGTATCTAACAGATTGGGAATATCAATTTCTTTTAAATATTGATTTATATTTATCCTTACAACCACTGTTTTTCTATTTAGTAATTTATTATGTATTCTACGTTCGTTTACGGATTTACCTGACTGTTATTTGTGTACCAATACGCTATCGCAGGCAAGGCATAATATAATATAGTTAAAAACGATAAGAAACCTATGCGATGAGATATAGTACTTGAACCGTTCTAATAAAATCGGTCTGTAAAAACATAAATAAATAAATAGATTATTTGTCAGAGTCGAAATATAATAATACCATATTGTATAATAATAGAATATAAAATGTAAAAAATACATACAGAAAAATTGAACTTGTTTGGAAACATTTGCATACATACATACGATTAAATATCCATGTCAGCGTATCATTAAAATATCGTTAGAAAATATTGATGTCGCTAGTGACGAAAATAAAATGCGAATAGGTATGAACTTATTTAAATAATTATAATAGATATTTGTTATAAATGTTATGATAAAATATTGAAGTTTTGAAGTCCTCTGTAGATACACGCTGCAGACTGTACGAGATTTGCCATGCTAAGGTATTCAAACGCTTATTTAATTCATCAATATTTAATAGACTACACACGTGCGCCACATATCTTACTTATACATAATAAACGGTATGCGCATGTAGTACATACCTCGATCACATACAGCATAAACTAAAGGAGTCGGTGCTTTATTAACTATAGACGATTTCGTACGATATAGAAACCGTGTGTAATAGGAGCCATGAACCGCGAGTGAAATAATTACACACACTTTCCTAGTTTCGCAATAGCAAAAAAAAAAATATCATTACATATAAATGTATTATCAATTATGTATATTGTGTACGAATCCCAAATTACCAAAACGCAAATTCGTTTTCTAACGCGATAAGTGCGTTTACTATAAATAAATCATCATAAATAATGTTATTTGCCGAGTGGGACGTGCAAGTTTGCAGAAAATATCATCTTAATGACATAATCATTCTTTTTCGAACCACCAATTGCTTGTACACATTTACGATAAAACAACAATAACAAAATATAGCAACACACCAGTATAGCGGTCAATGTATTACAAAAAAAAAAAAAAAAATTGAAATTAAAATTCAACACTAAACACCGATATTCGTTGATAGGAAGTGAAGGAGCTGGACAAACGTTGTAATCGAACTAAGGAGAGCAATTCAATTTTTAGGAGACAGTAAAATATTTAGATGCGACGAATTATTTTATAATATTGTAGCTATTACACAGGCATAGTTTTTATCTATAAACTGAAAATTGCAGTAAAAAAAAACGTTCAAATTTTATATTACATTTTTTTAATGAAATTCTTGATAGTCAACTAAAATGTAAATGGTTGAAATATTTTTAATCGGCTATAAGCACCGATAATCCCTTATTTCTGAGTACTGTAAACATGAATAATTTCAACTGGTTATATTAAATCTTAGTTACTGAAAAAAAAAATGTTTTATTAAATATTTTGAGTAAAGCATTCATTACAATTCTCACTATTTGTTTTATCTTAACCCTTTTAGGACTTCTTTTCCAACTAAAATGGCATTTGGAGAATTTCTTATTTGAATAAGCCACATCTACTGATTTTAGTTTTGTATAATTTTTCCATTTAAATTCATATTGTGATCTCATATTTGTGGGAGATAATATCACTAGCAAATACCATGGTTGGTGTATCAATACGCGGTAATTATTAAAATAATATAGGTACAGTTGTATCGTATAATCGGTAGTACTTGTCTATATGAACAGGATGAATTTTGTTCGCAGTCTTGTACGTTTAGAGCGAATCTTTAGGTTGATCAGACATAGTATATAGCAAATGCTCTGCGATATGATATAATCAACCTGCAAGCTATCGTGATCAACGATATGGCGACATCACAAGTGACAATTTCTGTGTAATATAGTATTTTAATGATACGACGCGCAAGTTAAAGTTAAGTTTGGTATAATATTACAAAATCGCCAATATAGGTAACTATCATAAAATCATGATCAAATAATAACTATTCACCCGACTTGGAGATGAACACGACCGTGATGCATGACGCGAACGTTATGAACAACAATAACAAATGACGGGACCTGGGCTGTTGTAACGTCCACCCCATCGGAACACCTGTAACATACGCATACGTATGCGAAGGGTAATTACAATATTATATCACACACACAATATTTTACATATTTTTAGTACAACGTATCGTTTATAGTTACGTTTGCGATCATACTATCGAATACGCGAACTGAATGTTTTGTGCACATTATAAACAATATAATATTAGCTTTAATTAAACATATTAGAAATACCGGATACGTATAATATACTTATCGATCGTATATTAATATATTTTCACCTACCGATAGTAATAATAGCAGCACGTGCCGAGGGTGAAATGCACGTGTCGCGCGGTCTTCGCACCGGTACCGATGTATGTAGATACCTGTCCTCGTTTAACCGATCGGATTGGACGGTTTATCGAACAGCGATCATAATATCGTATACGATTGTAAATGTACCACAGTAACAGTGTGTAGAATATATATATATATATATTATGTACGGTATGGATCGTAAATCGCTTGCACACGCACGCACACAAACAACCTTTCGTCGATCGTCAAATCGTCGTAATCGCTGACGTTATACGTACGATATGCAACTATTAGTGCACAAGTACAAGTCGGATACAACCGGAGGTAATTTTTTATCATTGATATCGTCCCGTCATTTGGTGTTGATTGTTTACCGCTTCGGTCCCCTCGTTGACGTCAAAGGTGGCAAAAGTTCGCGTGCGTGCGTGCGTGTTCCCGGTCTCCAAAATATCAGCCCCCCCGACCTGTATACGGGTGTATCACGCCGCACGTACCCCGGTAGTACGTATCATAACGTACGACTCTTGACGAGCGCGTTTCGAGACCAAAGTCCGCGTGCAACCGACGACCGTTGGCGATGCAAAGCCGACCGAAACTGACTACTGAGGTGTATAGTGTAACCTCTTGGCGTGCACCCGCTGCCGCCGTCGCCGCCGACGCCGACTCCGATTCCGCCGCCGCCGCCGCGCTGTACACGACTTCTGTCCCCGAACTTGCGGTGTTTATGATATTATTAAAGTGTGTGCGCGATGCTAAACAACGTACAGCCCAGTGGAGTGTATGTACATGACGCGACGTCAGCTGGTAAAACTTCACGAGCACGGGATATGTATCGTAATCATTATATCACCCGCTCGACTGCAAGACCGGCTGCGTAGATTTTACGCGAACAATATTATATTTCGGAAACGACAGCGGCGGTTTGAATCGCGTGGTGACGAGATTGATTCGCGATATCCGATTTGTAATTATCATTTTTTATCGCGATATTGTAAAATAGAATTTCGTAAAAACGTCTCAAAAAAAAAAAAAAAACTGTCTCAAAAAACTAAAAGTTTGAAAAAAGTATCTATCATTATACGTACTTACTACCGCTTACATCGTTGTCAGCGTTCCACCACCCCCGCGTCGTCGGACTCGCATACGCACATCTACGCACAAGCACACATAAACTTCACAAGCTTACCGTATATATGTGTTGTATATACCGAGTGTCTAACCTCGCGTTTGTCCTCGTATTCACACTCGACCGCCGTCATCACGTATCCCGGTTTCCGACATTCCTGCGCGCCATCCTGCCTAATAACATATCTGCTTAAAAGGCGCATCCGTAACTGTTTGAACGCGTCTTTTCGAGAAAATCATTATGGTTCGACTTTAAAAATTCTTGAATTAATCAAACCTTAAGAGTTGACCATAGTCGTCTCCTATCTTTGTACAGATACTATATATTATGAAAAGCAAATACAAAATAATAATATTTTTATTTCAAGTTAAGGTAACAAAAATATATATATATATACATTTTAATTACACTACGAAGTAGGGTTCTATTTTACATTACTTCTCTGTTGATCTTTTTAGTAAAAAAATATTGATTTCCAAAATCATATTTCAAAACTACTTAATAGTTATGATTTATGAGTAGTGAAAACACACAGTGAAACATCCAGTAAATATATTTATTAATATGCATGTATGTGTTTAAATATTTATATAAATGCACATGTATAAAACACGTGATATGGCCATAGACGAGTATGTCTAATATCTTTAGCCATATGTAGATGCTTGGTATAGTACTCGTACGTCCAAAATAGACCGATCGAATGACTGGCTCTCGCGAAAAGCGCCCTGTATAGCATTGCAGAAATACACGTTGTGTTCGTGCGTACCCGTGACGACGGCGTATACACATGAAACGGCTTAAACGGCCATCACGCAAAGGATTTATAACAACCCACCCGTCCGTCCTACCGACTGGGTATTATTCACGTTTTTATATACGTGTGAGTATTGTTACGGGTCCGATTATTTTTCTGTTGTTTTGTTTCTCCTATATGCAAATGTCAAGTGGGTACAAAATGGCGACGTGAAAAGGAATTATATTATATTGTATACGCGCCGCCGCAAATACTACCACCGCCACCACCGTCGGCGAATCGATTTCACTCGTTATTACTGTACTACCGCACGTTATGAAAAATCGAATAATTTTTTCTCACATAATCGAATTGCATTAATTATGTACCTATAATACGAACGGAATAACATAATAAAACGAAAAAAACAAAGTTTTTGTTATACGATATCATATTCTTTAACAATGACTACGCTAACGGTTTGATGTTTACCTTATATAATATATGCTGGCTACAGAACCGGACATAATTTGGAACGCGGAATACTGCATAGTCGACTGAGTGAAAAGTAACAAAAAATTATGCATATTTTAGAAATGTTAATCAAAATTTTATCAATTGTTGGTAAACACAGGTCAGAGACTGAAACCAACCAAAACTGAAAAAAAAACTGATTTCTAATATAAATTTAGTAACCAAAACCTTAAATGAAACCTATATTTTATTATTCTAGAATCAAAATCAAAACCCGAATTAATTTGTATTGAAAAATTAATTTTTACTAGTTTTCTTTTTTTTTAATTTACATACTTTTCTTGAACACAAGACAAATATTAACTTGTTTGTGTACATATCGTATAATATATAGTGGTTAGCACTCTACACCTCTACGCGACATGTATTTATAAAGTAAAATCTAATTATACTATGTCAAACAAATTAGGATGAGTAATTGACAAAAATATCAATTAAAGCAATAAGTGATAATAAAAATTATCGTTAGATAAATGGAATATTGGAACCGAAAAACAATAATAGTCATGACTAGAACACAGGTTTCTATGCAAATGCATATTTTTTTCCTATTAATATTTTTGGATTTTTGTCAGTTAACTCCACGAATCATCATAATTCGAAGCTAATGGTGAATTTTTTTTACATATTTCTGCATATTTAAATGTTATTGCATATTTTGGCAAAATTCAAAATTTATTGCATATTGAAGTTGTTTGAGTTTTAAATGTATTTGAACACACAAAAAAAACTCCAGTGGACTGTATAATCTTGTTTATTTATTGAACAGTAAAAATTGTAAACACTAATTGAATAATTAAATAAATTCTTTTCACTAATGAGGTGACAGTGGCGATTGACGATATTGTCACCGACGCAACGTTAAATAATTACTGACGACCCATGCCTGCCTTATACCCGACCCAAGGCGATATAGATAAAGATAATATTAGATATTATTGTACATCGAACAGAAGTAAAAATTTAAAAAAAATGTATAAAATAATATTTTATCAAGTAGAAAAATTAAAACTAAATTTTGTAGGCACTAAATAATAATTTATTTAAAGATAAGACACGACCATATAAGATAAAGACATATCACTCGGGGTTACATCGTATGTCGTTCATACATCATTAATATGCTGAAAATAAACTCTGTGTCTACCTATAATCTTAATAGATCTTATAAATTGCTCTTAATTGCATATTTTTTACACATTTTCATGATTTTTACTATATACTATTTTGTATATTTTCATGATTTTTACTGCATATTATATGGAATATTTCGATACTTTTTAGTACATAAAAATCCACGTTCTAGTCATCACCAAGTAGAAAAAATAATTTTAAAATAAATTTTGTCTGTCAATCAAGTAATCAACTTGTTTATTTTATCATTTTATAAACAACATCATTTTTCTATTGAAAATGTATAATTAAAATTAAAATAATAATTAATTTTAATTGAAGTTTAATGCTGGCCGTCCCAAAACACTTAATTAGAACACCAGCGAAACGTAGCCTTCAAAACAGGTATAATTCAAATCGAGACTTATAACAACATTAACAACCCTAAGAATGTCCATTGTCCAGTTTTAAACAAATAATAATCATAAAAGTATAAACCTTTGTTTGTTGTATTTATAGTACCTATATAATAATTAGGACAGATATAAATTGAGGACGTCATTAATTTGAACAAGAAATTAACCGATCGTTTAGGAGAATTATTGAATAATAGGGAAGTAACATACCTACCTAATACTTATATAATAATTTTTATATATTTACTACAACTTAATATTATTGTTATATCGTTTCGTCTAATTGGTGATAATTTTTAAAGTATCAAAACTCATTTACAAATATACATTAAAATCGTGGAAAGAATATTAAACCAGAAAATTAACAACAATAGATAATATTAAACAAATAGGTATGAGATATCATACTGATTATAAAACTTTAGTTTAGATAATAAATATAACATAAAAAATTATCTATTTGTAATATAATACATTTTTAATCATATCAGTTAAAGTTAACTGAAAGTTCTAAGTTTCTAAAAGTGAGAAGAAAAACGTATATTCGCCTAAATTATATGTATAAATAAACCCAAAAGATATGTTATTTTGAGTTATTCACCCAAATGAAAGCCGCCCTAAATTAATTTTGCATCTCTTTTTATTATTTTTAATGGGTTTATAACGGGTAATAGAATAAATTCGAAGTCAATTTCAAAAAATCAACGAATAAGTATTCATAAATTTAAAAAAATATTTTATAAAACACCGAGTCGTATTGATTTGTGTAGAAACATAATGGCCAATAAGCATAGTTTAAGATAGTACGGAGCTGCCCACCGGCAACTTATTCATATCGTTTGTATTGTGATAATATTTTTATAATGGCTCGTTGGCTAATAACCATCCTATTTTAAATCATGCTAATAAGCTAACAAATACTAATGGTTTTTAAGTCTTGTATTAAGTATTTCAGAATTTGATATATGTATAAATACTATAAATTAAATTAGGAAACAATAATAAATATTATTAAAATTAAAAACTAGGCTAAGAAAACATTTACGTAACAATAGTAACAATTATTGTAATAATTTTACTCTTACTAAGTATCGATTTCTAAATAATAATTAGGTTAGTCATGGTTATATAATCAATAAGATAGAACAGAATAAGTGTTTTTGTGAAGGATCATGTGGCGTGATCGTTATAATTTAATAGTGTACGTGAAGAACAATTTACGAATACTACAAAGGTCAAACAATAACTTTAACATGTTTTTGTAAACATGTTTAAAAAAAAAAAAATTATAATTTTCATACTACAACAAAAATCTAAAAAATATTACAATTTACAATTTTCCCACGACCAAAACCCATATTTCCGTTAAGTCGATTTAATACTAATATTATTTTATATATTTATACGTATTGCTAATTGTTATGGTTCAATTATTTTGGCATAGACATGCTTATTTTATTTGATATTACCAAATGCATGACATTGCAGTCCACAGAATATATTTTGAATATCTTGACTACAGTGCATGCTTCATAAATTTGAATTATTATTAATTCATAAAGATTCTACAGGCTATTATATTTCTATATTACTCAATAACGACGATCACGTATACTAGATAATATGCAGCGTTTTAGTTTATTATAATATTGAGTGCAACGGTTG